TCCATTGTGTAGATGTACCACATTTTCTCTATCCATTCTTCGGGTGAGGGACATCTAGGTTGCTTCCAAGTTCTGGCTATTACAAATAAAGCTGCTATGAACATAGTGGAACAGACATCTTTGTTATATGAATGGGCATCTTTTGGATATATGCCTAAGAGTGCAGTTGCTGGGTCTTGTGGTAGGTTTATTCCCATTTTTCTGAGGAATCTCCATACTGCTTTCCAAAGTGGCTGAACCAGTTGGCACTCCCACCAGCAATGGAGGAGTGTCCCCCTTTCACCACATCCTCTCCAGCATAAATTGTCATTGGTGTTTTTGATTTTAGCCATTCTGACAGGAGTGAGATGGTATCTCAGAGTTGCTTTGATTTGCATTTCCCGGATGGCTAAGGATGTTGAGCACTTTCTCAAGTGCCTCTCAGCCATTTTAGACTCCTCTATTGAAAACTCTCTATTTAGTTCTGCAGCCCACTTCTTAATTGGGTCCTTTGGTGTTTTGGAGACTTGCTTCTTGAGTTCTTTGTAAATTTTGGAGATCAACCCTCTGTCAGATGTGGGATTAGTGAATATTTTTTCCCATTCTGTGGGCTGCCTTTTTGTCTTGCTGACTGTGTCCTTTGCCTTACAGAAGCTTCTCAGTTTCAGTAGGTCCCATTTATTAATTGTTGATCTCACTGTCTGTGCTACTGGTGTTATGTTCAGGAAGCTGCCTCCTGTACCAATTCTTTCAAGGGTACCACCCACTTTCTCTTCTAAGAGGTTCAGTGTGGCTGGATTTATGTTGAGGTCTTTGATCCATTTGGACTTAAGTTTTGTGCATGGCGATAAACATGGATCGATCCGCATTTTTCTACATGCCAGTCTCCAATTATGCCAGCACCATTTGTTGAAGATGCTTTCTTTATTCCATTGTATATTTTTAGCTTCTTTGTCAAAGATCAGATGTTCGTACGTGTGTGGGTTAATACCCGGATTTTCAATTCGATTCCATTGGTCTGCCTGTCTATTTTTGTGCCAATACCAAGCTGTTTTCAGGACTATAGCTCTATAATAGAGCTTGAGGTCAGGGATAGTGATGCCTCCGGACGTTGCCTTGTTGAACAGGGTTGTTTTGGCTATCCTGGGTCTTTTGTTTTTCCATACAAAATTGATTATTGTTCTTTCAAGGTCTGTGAAGAATTGTGCTGGGATTTTAATGGGGATAGCATTGAATCTGTAGATTGCTTTTGGCAGGATTGCCATTTTTACTACATTGATCCTACCTGTGTTTTTTTATTGTCTCCATGGCTGCTTTCAATCCTTGCATTGTATGAATTGTTTGCTGTAATTTTTGCTTCGTGTTTTCCTCCCTTTCTTCCATTTGTTGGAATTTTTGGTTTGTTTTTTCTTATATTTCTTGCATTTTTGGTTTGTTTTCCTTCCATTTTTATTTTTTTTATATTTTTTAATTAATATTTTTTTATTTTCCATTTTAAATTTAGATAAGAAACAAGGTTGCTTCACAAGTCAGTACGAGGTCCCTCTCCCTTTCCCTCCCCTCCTCCCATGCCCTCCCCCCCATCCCCCCCGTTATCCCCTCATTCCCCCAGGGAGGGTGAGGCCCTCCATGGGGGTGTCCATAGTCTGTCATTTCTTCCATTTTTAAAGGGATTTTTCTCACATCCTCTTTGAGAGCCTCTATCATTTTTCATGAAGGTGTTTTTAAGGTCATTCCCTTCTGCTCCATCCACGTTGGAGTGTTCAGGTCGTACTGGTGTAGAATCTCTAGACTCTGGTGGTGTCATATTAGTTTTTCTGTTGCTGAGTGTGTTCTTATATTGCCTTTTCCCAATGACTTCTTCCAGTGGGTGTAGAAAGAGTCTCTTCCTCTCCTGGTGGATAGGCGAACAGGGTTCCCTTTTGGTGGGTGCAAGGAAATCCAATATTCTCTCTCCTGTGCTCTCTGTCCTCTGCCCCAAGTGTGGGCAGAAGTGGAGCAGCTCTCTCTCAGGCTCCTGGTTGGTTGGTCATCCACCTGGGGTAGGGGAGTCAATCTGGTGCAGTCCCCAAGCCAGGGGATCTGAGAGAGGGCGAGCCTGCTCAACTCTGCCCTCTGCCCTGGGTTTGGACAGAAGTGGAGCAGCTCTCTCTGAAGGTTCCTAGCCACTTCAAATTGTCTGAAAGTCATTTCATAGAGAAAAGAAACTTATGCCATCAACAAAATTACTCAGTCTTTATTAGTAATATTTTTTTTCAAAAAATTGTAATTTAAATTAGAAAAAGGCTTGCTTCACATCACAATCCAAGGTCCTTCTCCTCCCCTCTGCTCCTGCCTCCCACAAACCCCCCAACCTACAATCCAATCCCCACTCCGTTCCCCAGGGAGGGTGACATACTCCATGGTGGATCTCCAGAGTCTGTCATTTCATCCAGTGCAGGGCCTAGGCCCTCCGCCAAGAGTCCAGGCTGAGAGAACATCCCTCATTGTGGAATGGACACTCAAAGTCTATTTGTATACCATGGATAAATACTACTCAAGGCCTCATAGATATGTAGGCCTCCTCATTGACACCCACATTCAGGGGGGCCTGCGTCAGTCCTATGCTTTCCACATAGCCATCAATCTGGGGTCCCAGAGCTCCCCCTTGTTCAGATTAATACTTTTTGTGGGTTAAACCTGTTCATTCTTAACTCCTTTGCTCATTTGTTCTCCCTTTCTGTCACTGGATTCCAGGAGTTCAGTTCAGTGTTTAGCTGTGAGTGTCTGCTTCTGCTTCTGTCAGTCTCTGTATGAAGGTTCTGTTTGCCAAACTCCCTGGCAGTGGGATTGTAGGGTGGCACTCCCCTGATTCATGTCTAAAATCCATATATGAATGTGTATATACCATGATTGTCTTTTTGTGACTTGGTTACCTCATGCAGGATGGTTTCTTCTAGTGCCATTCATTTGCCTGCAAATTTCAAGATTCCATTGTTTTTGTTCTGCTGGATAGTACACCATTTTGTAAATTTAGCACATTTTCTCTATTGATTCTTCACTTGAGGGGCATCTAGGTTGCTTCAAATTTCTAGCTATTACAAATAATGCTGCTATGAACAGTGGAACAGACATATTTGTTGTATGAATGTCCAATTTTGAGTATATGCCTAAGAATAGAATTGCTGGGTCTTGTGGTAGACTGATTCCCATTTTCCTGCGGAATCTCCATACTGATTTCCAAAATGGCTGTACCATTTGTCACTCCCACTAGCAGTGGAAGAGTGATACCCTTTCTCCACATTCTCTCCAGCATAAACTGTCAATGGAGTTTTTGATTTTAGCCATTCTGACAGGAGTAAGATGGTATTTCAAAGTTGTTTTGATTTGCATTTCCTGGATGCTAAAGATGTTGAGCAATTTCACAAGTGTCTCTCAGCAATTTTAGACTTCTCTACTGAGAAATCTCTATTCAGTTCTTAGACCACATTTTAGTTGGATCCTTTGGTGTTTTGGAGATTTGATTCTTGAGTTCTTTGTAAATTTTGGAGATCAGCCCTCTGTCAGATGTTGGGTTAGTGAATATCTTTTCCCATTCTGTGGACTGCTTTTTTGTCTTGCTGACTGTGTCCTTTGCCTTACAGAAGCTTCTCAGTTTCAGGAAGTCCCATTTATTAATTGTTGATCTCACTGTCTGTGCTACTGGTGTTCAGGAAGCTGTCTCCTGCACCAGTTCATTCAAGGGTACCTCCCATTTTTCTCTTCAATCAGGTTCAGTGTGGCTGGATTTATGTTGAGGTCTTTGATCCATTTGGACTTAAGTTTTGTACTTGGCGATAGATATGGCTCTATTTGCAGTCTTCTACATGCCAATATCCAGCTATGCCAGCACCATTTGTTGAAGATGCTTTTTTCCATTGTATAATTTTAGCTTCTTTGTCAAAAACCAAGTGTTCATACGTGTGTGGGTTAGTATCAGGGTTTTCACATTTTATTTTATTGGTCTACCTGTCTATTTTTGTGCCAATACCAAGCTGTTTTTTAGGACTATAGCTGTATAAGAGAGCTTGAAGTCAGGGATGGTGATGTTGTTGCTTTGTTCAACAGGGTTGTTTTGGCTATCCTGGGTCTTTCGCTTTTCAATATATAGTTGAGAATTGTTCTTTCAAGGTCTGTGAAGAATTGTGCTGGGATTTTAATGGGGATTGCATTGAATCTGTTTATTGCTGTTGGCAAGATTGCCAATTTTACTATATTGATCCTACCTTTCCTAGAGCATTGGTGATCATTCCATTTTCTTGTGTCTTATATAATTTCTGTCTTTAATGACTCAAAGTTCTTGTGATATAGGTCTGTCACTTCTTTGATTAGTGTTACCCCAAGTTATATTGTGTTGTTTGGGGCAATTGTAAAGGGTGATGTTTCTGATTTCTTTCTCAGCCCTTTTATTTTCTGTATATAGTAGGGCTATTGATTTTTTTGAGTTGATCTTGCATCCTACCACTTTGATGAAGGTGTTTACCAGGTGTTAGGGTTCCCTGATAGAGTTTTTTTGGGTCACTTTTGTAAATAGTGAAAGTTTGACCTCTTTCTTTCCAATTTGTATCTCTTTGATCTCCTTTTTGGTCTTAGTGCTCTAGCTAGAACTTCGAGTACAATGTTGAAGAGGTATGGGGAGAGGGGACAGCCTTATTTTGTTCCTGATTTTAGAGGAAATGCCTAGAGTTTCTCTCCATTCTGATGCTGGCTGCTGGATATATATATATATATATATATATATATATATATATATATATATATATTTCTTCATTATTTAAGCAGGTACTTACTTTAATGATGGTGTACTTTGCTATAGAGAAGATTGTCAGCTTCATGAAGTCCCATTCCTTAGTTATTGCTCTTAGTGCCTGTTTTGTTAATGCTGTTCTTTCCATAAGATTCCTTTCTTATGCCAATGATTTCAAGCCTATTCCCCATTTTCTCTTCAATCAGATTCACATCAACTGGTCTTATGTTGATCTATTTACTCTATTTGCAGTTGAGATTTGAGAAGAGAGATAAACATGAATCTATTTGCTCTATTCTGTATGCAGCCCTCCTGAATGGCCAGTACCATTGAATGAGGACACGGTAAATATTTGGCCTATTATGAAAAATCTGGAATCTGTAGTTATTTGAACTTATGTCTGGATTTTGATTTTCATTCCATTGTTCAATATACCTGTTTTTATGTGAATACCATGCTGTTTATTATTATTATTATCTCTCTGAGTTACAAGTTTAAATCTGGGATGCTGTTGATAACTCCATTAGTTTGTTTATTTTTCAGGAGTACCTTTCAGTTATCCTGGGGTTTTTTGTTTGTTTATGCATTTATTTTACATTCTGATTGCAGCTTCCCCTCCCTGCTCTCGCTCATTCCCTGCCTCCCACACCAACTCATGAAACCTCCCTTAATCCACTCCTCTGTTTCTGTCCAGAATGGGGCAGGCTTCTCATGGAAAATAGCAAAGCATGATATATCAAGTTGCAGTAAGAGTAAACATGTCCCCTTGTATTAAGGCTGGTCAAGTCAATCCATTATGAGGAATAGATTTCAAAGAGCTGGCCAAAGCATTTGGGCCAGCATCTGCTCCCATTTTTAGGAGTCCCACAAGTAGACCAATGCTTTGGAACTGTCTTGTGTATATAGACAGCTTAGGTCAGTCCCATGAAAGATCCCCATTTGTTGGTTCAGACTCTTAATTCCAATTTGCCAGGTTAGTTGTTTCTGTGAATTTTATTGTGCTGACCTTAACCCCTCAGTTTCCTACGATGCTTTCTCTGTATTTTCAGCAGAATCTCCCAAGTTCAGCCTAATGTTTAGCTGTGGGTGTCTGCTTCTTTTTCCATCAGTTACTGAATAAATGCTCTCTGATGACAATTGAAGTCTGATCACAGGAGATGGCCAGTTCAGGTTCCATATCCACTATTCTAGGATATGTAGTTGGGATAATTCCTGTAAATTTGTTGGAATTTCCCTTGCATCAGTTTTTTATGTGACCCCAATAAGTGCTCCCTCTTTTTTCAGTCATATTTTCAGTTACTCTTCCCCTACACCCACACACAAGCCAATCCCTCAATTTCTCATACTCACCAGGAGATCTCTTCTATTTTCCCTGCTTTGAGCCCTCCTTGTTACCTACCCTCTTTGAGTCTGTGGATGTAGTGTGGTTACCCCTTATGCTTTAGATAATATTTACTTATGATTGAGTACGTACTGTATTTGTCTTTCTGAGTCTGTGTTACCTCACTCAAGATGATTTTTTTCTAGCTTGTCCCATTTGCTTCAAATTCCCTGATGTCATTGTTTTTAACAGCTGAGTAATACTACATTGAATAAATTTGCCACTATTGTCTTTATCCATTCTTCAGTTGAAGAGCATCTAGGCTGTTTCCAGTTTCTGGCTATTACAATTAAAGCTGCTATGAACATAGCTGAGCAAGTGTTCTTTTGGTATGGTTAAACATCCTTTCGGTATATTCCCAAGAGTGATATAGCTGAGTCTTGAGAGAGTCTGATTTCTAATTTTCTGAGAAACTGCCATACTGATATCCAAAGTGGTTGTACATGTTTGCAATCCCACCAGCAATGGAAGAGTGTCCCCTTGATCTATATCCTCTCCAGCATAAACTGTCACTTGTATTTTCGATCTTAGTCATTATGAACAGGTATAAGATGGAATCTCAGAGCTGTTTTGGTTTGCATGCCCCTTATGACTAAGGATGTTGAACTTTTCTTTAACTGTTTCCCTTCCATTTGTGATTCTTCTCTGTTTAGTCTGTACCCCATTTTTAATTGGATTATTAGGTTATTTTATGTCTAGTTACTTGAGTTATTTGTATATTTTGGAGTATGACCCTGTGACCGATGTGGGGTTGGTGAAAATCTTTTCTATTTCTGAAGTTGTTTGGATTATTGACAGAGTCCTTTGAAGCTTTTCTGTTTCATCAGGTCTCACACCAGAAAAATCCAAGGAATGAGAAACACACACACACACACACACACACATACACACACACACACACAGAGAGAGAGAGAGAGAGAGAGAGAGAGAGAGAGAGAGAGAGATAATACCACCAAGAGCAACAAGTAACAGGAGTTAATAGTCAATGTACTCAAATCAACAATAAAATTACACAGGGTAATGGAACAGATATGAAAATAAGACCCATCCTTCTGCTGCACACAAGAAACACCTACCATAAGATACCACATACCAAAATTAAATCAAGACCAGCTAATTAGGCCTATTACCCCTAAGGCAATGGAAGAAGTCATTGAAAATCTCCAAACCACAAAAACAAAATGATAAAAAATAGACATTACCTCAGAGTAAACGGTTAGAAAAAGACTTTCCCATAAAACAGATCTAAGGAACAAGTTGCTGGAGCTATTGAAATATCTACCAAAATAGACCCAAACCAAAATTAATCTAAAGAGATGGAGAAGTACATTTCATATTCATCAAAGGACAAATCCACCAAGAGGATGTCTCATTTCTGAACATTTATGCCCCCCATAAAAGGGCACATACATTTGTAAAAGAAACATTACTAATCCTTAAATCACCTACCTATCCCCACACATTATTAGTGGGAGACCTCAGTACCACACTCTCACCAATGGACATGTCTGTTCATATAGAAACTAAACAGAGAAATAAAGGAACTAGCTGATGTAATGACTCAAATGGACCTAACATATATCTACAGAACATTTCACCCAAACAGCACCTCATGGAATCTTGTCCAAAATTGACTACATGCTTGGTCACAAAGCAAGTCTCAAAAGATACAAAAACACTGGAATAATCACCTGTATCTTAGCAGATCACAATGGAATATACTAGAAGTTCAACAACAATACAATGTACAGAAAGTCTTTTAACCCATTGAAACTGAAAAATTCTCAGCTGAATTACCACTGGGTCAAGGAAGAAATTAGAAAGAATTTAAAGACTTTCTATAATTCAATGAAAATGAAGGTGCAACATCTTCAAACTTATGAGATACAATGAAAGCAATATTAAGAAAATAGTTCATGGCACCGCATACCTTCTTAAAGAAATTGGCGAAGTCTCATACTAGCAATGTAACAGTACACATTGAAACTCTAGAAGAAAAAGAAGTAAACCCAAGCAAGAGTAGCAGAAAGCAAGAAAACTGTCTAAGGGCTGAAAACCAGTATTTATTCCTAGTGCACTAATGGAGTTTGGGAGCCCCTTCCTCTAAGCAGTGCTATTCTCTCAGCCTAAATATATGGAGGAGGGCCTAAGCCCCACCCCAGTTGATGTGGCAGACTCTGATGATCACACATGGAAGGCTTCACTCTACCTAGGGAGTAGACAGGAAGTGTAATGGGGGAAGGGGTTTGGTGGGAAGTATGGGAGGATGGGGAGGAAGAGGAAACTGGGATTGATATATAAAATAAGATTGTTTCTAATTTAAATAAAAATATCAAACTGAAAAAACCATATTATCTGTAATAAAATATACTTAATGCTAAATAATAAACACATGTAACTATGTATACTAAATATACCTTGACTTCTCTCTGTATATCACCTTGATCTCATTTAGTTGTCCTGTTGTTCTAGCTAAGACTTAAAATAGTATGTTGAATAGGCATGAAGAGAATAGACATCCTTATCTTCCTGATTTTAATGGATATGCTTTGAGGGTTTTTCCCATTTAGGCCATTGTTAGCTGTGAACTTAAAGTAAATTGCCTTTATTATGTTGAGGTATATCCCTTCCATTGTTAGTTTCTTCAGGACATATATATGAAACTGTCTCTTCATCTCTGTGATTAAGCCAACATGATCATGACAGATAATATTTTTGCTGTGTCCCCAACAAGAGGGTCAACACTACTGTGCTGCTCAGATAGGGCGCCAGGCCTGCTCTCCTGTGTTCTGCAACTTGTGAGGGGCAGGGCTAGTTCTGTCACTCTTTTGAACCCAGTGCCATCTCTCTCACCTGCCACAACTTGAGTAATCTTTGCCTTGCACATGTCACCACATGGTAGATGGAGGGATAGGGTCAGCTCTCCTCTCACATCCTCAGAGTTAACTCAACTATGTCTAGCTCCAGTGTGCTGTCTAGGTGAATTTTATGATCATGGTGAGGGATGGTATTATCTTTCCTGAGTGCCTGGTCCAACTCTCCCCTGAGGGGCAGGGCCATCTCTCCTGCTGCAGTATCCAGTGAAGGGCAGGGCCAGGTATACTAGGGCCAGAGAATGGTGGGACTGGCTCAGAGCAACCCTCAGATTTACAAACACATGTTTCCTATGATCCCCTGTACTAACATGGGTAACAGACGTCATCACAGACCCCAGCTTCAGCAGGATCATGGACACAGACATGGCCCTTGGAAGAAGCTTAGGTCTGGATGTCACCATGCCCCTGGTGGCAACACCAGTCACCAGATCAGGATGGCCCTAGTGGCCGCATGACCCTTGGATACTAACCCAGTCTCAGGTGCGTGGCCATACGGTGGGCATCTTCAGAACCTGTGGTGGTAACAAATGTCATGGTCATCACCCTAGATCCCAGCCACTGCATGGCCACAGATCCAGATATGGCCTTTGGCAGCAGCACAGGCCCAGATATCTCCACAGCCACAGATAGCATCACAGGCTAAACAGATTAGTATGACTCCAGCAGCTACATAGCCCTTGGATACGGAGGTGGTCTCAGGTGGATAACTGGTCCTAAGTCATACATAGACCATTGGTGGTAACAGGAGCCGTGGATTTGAACTCAGTCCCTGGCTGCAGTATGGCCACAGATCCAGACATATCCCTCAGCAGTATCTCTGGCCCAGGTGATACCATGGCCTCGGATGAGAGAGAGTCCACTCTGATCACCATGACCCTGGTAGCAGCATGGCCCTCAGACACCACAGTTTAAGGCCTAGACCCTGGGCATCTCTGGGGCTGTTGGTATCAATATGGGTGACAGACATCAATAAGACCCAACACCCTGTGCATATTCCCAACAGAAGCCATAGACACTAATACAGACCCTTGCTACTGCAGGGTCATTGACCCAGAAATGGTCCTGGGCAGCAGCTCAGACCCAGATGTCACTATAGCCCCAGGTGGTAGAACAGGTTATTTAGATCAGCATGATTCCTGTGGTAGCATAGCCCTCGAACTCCATCATTGCCTCAGAATGCATCCCAGACCATAGGCCTCTGCACAGCCCCCAGTGGTGACATGATGAACATACATCAATACAGTTCCTTTGGTTGCTTCAAGGCCTTGGACCAAGGCTTGTCCCTTGGCAATAGTTCAGGCCTGGAGACCAACTTGGCCTCAGGTGATAAGCAGATGATTCATGTCAACATGTACCTCATCACCCTCACCTTTTCTGATCTGCCTCTCTCTCATTCTTCCATTTTCTCACCCTGTACTTGCTCACCATAATGGTCCCCAGAGACCTGGCAGGTTCCTAGTTGAGTCATAGGTGGCACTTGTTTGAGTCATTCATGGCTATACACAAGGCATGGCACAGAAATGTTATTATTCATCTCTCACATGCCTAGGCTTAGAAACCATGAGTTTGGTATGATGGTGACCAATTGTCCAGTGCCAAACACTTGGGTAGTACTGAGTGTCTCCTGGTTGGTTGTACCCAACCCATATTATTTTGATTTTTGAACTATACTTTAATTACCTTTCTTACCTCCAAACCCTTCCAAAGACCTCTTACCTTCAAATTCCCAGTCTCTTTGTCTCTGTTTGTTATTGGGTCTCAGGGTAAACTACTACTTTTATTTTGATAAAGGAGAATTGAAATAAAATGTCTCCTATAGAAATATTGTTATACTAATGGATGACTTCCTCTCTCAAATCACATCATATGAACTTGCTCTTTCAGTAGATGATAATTAATAGCGAGATTCACAAATGGACAATGTGCATATAGTGAGAGACTTTGTCCTAAGTGAAATTTCCTCATCAAGGCCCTCTCCTTGTTACATAGAATCTGTACAGAAGGGGAAGAGGAAAGATTGTATGAGCCAGAAGTGGTGGATGACACAGAAGAAACAGTGTCTTCTAGGCACAACATGACTGATACAACATAGTATCTTAGTGAGACTGTGATAGCAAATACTAGAACTATACAGGTTCAAACAGGAAGTATGCCAGCACTATAGCAGGGTAATACATATAAAGAACCATGGATAACCTGGATAACCAAGAAGTTATTTGCAACTGACAACAGCTGAAAAAATAAAATCAGTGTTTTTAAATGTAATATCACTGTATATATCCACTACATACCTAGGTAAGTAATGAGGCAACATGAAAGAGATGTCAATTTATTTTATTTCTTAATCTTTGTTTTGTATTGTTCTGCTTTTATACATTTTAACTTATTAAAATTCTTAGTTTTAAGAGTTAGCCATGAGAAAATGCACATGCATTTGTTTATGTAGGTAGGGTAAAATCTCAAAAAAGATGGCAAAGGGGAAAATCATGATCAGATTCTAGTGTATGAGGAATGTTTTTAAATTAAAAATGAAATAAATGAATTATTCCCTTAAACAGTCACATATTAGGGTGACATTTACTACTCTGGTCCTTTAAGACTCTATGTCATGACACTGGTTTATTGCTCATAATCTGTCATTTATCTCTGGTGGCCATGGAAACATGAGAATTTCTAGAGTTACTACTTACCTCACACTTGGCTGTCACTAACATTTGGGCTTCATAGATGAAACAAACGGGCAAGTATTTTGTGTTATCTATACAATTTTATTAATCACATTCCACTTCACAGGACAAGGAATTAAAAAGGGCCACTGACATATGTTTCAGCTACTAGTTTACATCATTTCCATGTGAGTAAATGCAGCTGAATATGATAAGTGTTGGGAATCCATGGGTGCCAATGAGGACTCTGGAGTTTGCACAGGCCATTGTACCTGTGAAATTTCTTTAAGTGGAGTATGTGAATTAGCCTCTTTCTTTTGTTTTCCTATTTAGAAAATGGGGATATTGATTGTGTGGATATAGTTGGAAGTACAGGAACATCAGATGGACTAATACCCCTGAAGTGTATAAATGAGGCTCTAGTGTAGCAAAAAAGTGGAGAGGAATTGGTCGGTTTGTGTTAACCAGGGGTTGGTTGGAGACACACCATTGTATGCTAAAATATATGTCTGACAGAACTTCTTTTGCTGAAGGTGATTCACCTCTTATGTGACTCCCGGTCTGATCAACATTTTCTGTTATTTGGAAGATACTTATGATCTTGGCATCTCCACAATGGATTTCTTCACCCTTGATAAACAAAGGTACAAACTTGAAATGAGATATATGGAGGGCTTGAAATTGGTCATTATGAAACACACACATCTCTTCTATAGGATTCAAACATGGGTAGGACAGCATTCTCTACGCTGATTCCTGTTGTGCTTCAAAATGCACCATTCCTTTAGTTCACTGCTCAGATGTGACTTGGTGAGCATGAGGTTGTGGGGAGGAAGTATTCAAGCCACCATCAGTTGAAAACCCATGTTGCTGATGTAACATTTGAAGTATTCAACAACTGTCTTCTCTAAGTTAAGAAGCAAATTCCACATAAACTGTGAGTGGGAAAGTGGCTATCTTGTAAGAAGGGTTTCCATGCAAGGAGATCCAGTTTATTGACCCCTAACAACTTCTGCATGGACAGTGGAAATGGCATTATCCTCGCGTCTGCTGTATACAAAGCATAGCCTCCTTCCTATCTTCTCAAGTACTCTGTGGCATCCCTCAGGGCATAGGTTTTTGTGAGTATTAACACTAAATCCAACTATTTGAAATGAGAAGTGATTTAAATAAGCTGGCACACAAGTAAATATAGAGACTTAGTTTTGTACTACAGAAGATTAGTTGTTCACACAAATAGGATACTAATATGCAAAGAATATAAAAGTTGGTTTTCTGAAAATCCACATTTGTGTAAGTTATGGGCCAATGATGGAAATACCATGAATCCTTGTGTTTTAAATAAAGATTTAGAATTTTTGGCACTGAGGAATAGAATCAGGGTCTCCAACATATTCAGCAATTGTTTTTCCACTGAGACATTTGTTTATCCCTAATATCTATATATTTTAAAAGTCATTCTAATCATTACTAAAGTATAAAAGATGTATGGCTTTAAAAAACTTGCCACCTTTCAGAAAAATATAAAAACAAGACATTCTATATTACAAGATTTTACTACCTTTTGGGTGTATATATTTGTTTTTGGTTTTTATAAGACAGGGTTTCTCTGTATTGTTTTGGAGGCTATCGGTCCAGCCCAGCCTCGAACTCACAGAGATCAGCCTGCCTCTGCCTCCTGAGTGCTGGGATTAAAGGCGTGCGCCACCACTGCCCGGCTTTGGGTGTATATTTTATGGCACATTCTCATTGTATCCCTCTCTCTCTCTCTCTCTCTCTCTCTCTCTCTCTCTCTCTCTCTCTCTGTGTGTGTGTGTGTGTTTTGTATGCTTGTGCACATACACACAAAAACATATGCCTCATGTATGGAGTGTGGACATGCATGGGTATAACATGAAGATCGTTGTTCATTTTGCTTGTTCTATTTGCAATAGTCATACAAAAGTTCACTACACTAATTTAGAAATGATATTTGAGAATGTTTCAGATTGTATCTCATTTAAATTATTTATCATATTTATATATTCAAAACATAGCTAAATAAGCATTACTTTACATGATATTGCAAACTATTTTTCTCTGCTAATTACAAGCATTAAAATTCTTACTTAACAAAAGATACATTTCAGCAATTAACAGATAAAGTGAAATTGTTAACCAAAACCTCTCATAGAGTGAACTTCTGACATAGTCATGGAGATTAGTGCTTCTTATACACTTTTCTGTAGAATGTTACACTCCAATAAATGGACTACTTAAATGCAGCTATGTGAATAGCAGGGACAAGGTATGAGAACTTAGTGCTTTGTAAATTATCACTGTTTTGGTTTTGGTTTTCAACCTTTTCTTGTGTTCCTGGCTTAACTGTATGCATGTTCAATCTCTTCTTCAGATTTGCCAATGGAAAGGAGTGCATCTTCAAACTGACTGCCTTCTTTAGCAGCCTATCAGCTTTCGTGTTCGAAATAGTCATTGCAAACAGCCAAAGCTGGCGCCTCTGGGGATTCGATGATAACATTGTGAAGTTTGTGTCCTTTGGACTCTGGGAAGCTCATTACTCTCAAGAGTTTAATGTCTCAGGGACCATAACCAAGATGCTGGTGCACACTCCTATTGATTCCACCTGGAGCATTTCACCTGAATTTCTATATGCTCAGAATCTGATGGTTGGGACCATTTTGATGAATCCTATAGTACTGGTTTGCAGTGCAATGGCCATTAAGATCAGCTACATGAAACACCCATATGTTGAGCTTCAGATATATTGCTACAAGGTCTGTGCCTTAGTTTTGTGTGTTAGTGGCCTCTTCACATTTGTTTCTGTGAGCTGGAACCACATGGTAGATCTGTATGGCCAAACCACTCTTGACTTTCCACCTGACTTTCCTGTTAAAAAAGAAGCCTTGATAAACAAATACTTTACTGTTGTGTTCCCATTTGGGGTCCTGACAGCTACCATGTCACTCTTTGGTGTGATCAACTATCTCTCTGAGATAAGCAATTTGAAACTACAGAGTCAGTTGAAGGCCAAGTGTGCTTCCAAATTTACCAAACAAGAGGTCTGAAGTGAGGGCTCCTGCATTTGCAACATCTGTCAGAATGTTCCTTGAAGGAATTTCATATTTACACACAAAACACATGTAGTCATCAACTCATTCTGAATAAAGCCTCCACTTGGTTCTCTGGGTGTGTCTAAATTACTTCCTCTTCTATGTCTAATATTTTCCCATCTCTAAATGTGTTTTCATCCTAAACTCTGAAGGTGATTTAGTAGTTTGAATGTAATTGGCCCCCATAATCTCATGAGGAGTGGCACTATTAGGAGATGTGTCTTTGTTGGAGTGGGTTTGGTCTTATCAGAGGAATGTGTTACTGTGGGGGTCGGTTTTGAAGTTTCCTATATTAAAGATACTGTCCAACATGTCAATTAACTTCCTGTTGCCTGCAAGATGTAGCTCTCTCAGCCATAGTAGTACCTCTGCCTGCACACCACCATGCTCCCCATAATGGTGATAAGGGAATGAACCTCTGAAATTCCAAGCAAGTCACCACAATTAAATGCTTTCTTTATAAGATTTGTCATAGTCTGGTTTGGAAGACCTGGCTCCACTAGCCAGTGTCTAGGTGAGCTGGGTGTGTTACTTACCTGATGGGGTGGTCGTAACTACTCCCATCCTGGGCCTCGGTTTGACCCATCATAATAGTTGCCACATCTTTGACCTTCCAAAGTGCGTGAAGGGACTGACCCTGCATAAAGATAATGACAGAATCTCCATGATTAGTGGCAGCAATAGTATATCCAAGAGGACTTTCACTGATGGCCCCATCATGATGATGTATCAGAAACAAAACACCTTCAACCAGACCAATAACACATTGCAATGAATATTTTACAGCTGGAGCTAAGTGGGCAAAAGAGGCACACTGCATGACACACCACAGTTCCAAATGGCACTAGGATAAATGAAGAGGTTTCTGAAAGATGGAAGAGTAAGGTGGGGTTTTGGTTATTTTATTTTTTTTTTTTTAGAGTTTTTTTTTAAATTTTATTTTCCAGTTTAAATTTAGATAAGAATCAAGGTTGCTTCACAAGTCAGTTCCAGGTCCCTCTCCCATTCCCTCCCTTCCTCCCGTGCTCTCCCCTCCCCCCCCCGTTATCCTCTCATTTCTCCAGGGAGGGTGAGGCCCTCCATGGGGGTGTCCATAGTGTGTCATTTCATATAGGGCAGGGCCTAGACCCTTTCCCAAGAGTTCTGGGTGAGAGTGCACCTCACATTGTTCTATTGGAGTCCAAAGTCCGTGTGTATACTTGGGATGGGTACTGATCTGCTGCCCAAGGCTCAATAGATTCCCTAGGCCTCCTCACTGACACCCAGATTCAGGGGGTCTTGATCAGTCCCATGCTGGCTTCCCAGGCTAATGCCTGGGATTCAAGAGTTAACCTTTGTCTGGTCAGCTGTTTCTGGGGGTTAAACCAGCCCAGTCTTAATCCCTTTGATCATCAGTCCTCCCTCTCTGTTACTGGCTTTCTTGAGTTCAGCTCAGTACTTAACCAAGGGAGTCTGCCTCTTCTTCGATCAGCCACTAAATAAAGTTTCTGTTTCCCAGACTCTCTGGCCATAGGATTGTAGGCTGGCACTCCCCAGATCTATGTCTAAAATCCATATATGAGAGAGTACATGCCATGTTTCTCTTTTTGTGACTGGGTTACCTCACTCAGGATGGTTTCTTCTAGTGTCATCCATTTGCCTGCGAATCTCATGATTCCATTATTTTTTTCTGCTGAATAGTACTCCATTGTGTAGATGTACCACATTTTCTCTATCCACTCTTCAGGTGAGGGACATCTAGGTTGCTTCCAAGTTCTGGCAATTACAAATAAAGCTGCTATGAACGTAGTGGAACAGACCTCTTTGTTGTATGAATGGGCATCTTTTGGATATATGCCTAAGAGTGGAGTTGCTGGGTCTTGTGGTAGGTTTATTCCCATTTTTCTGAGGGATCTCCACACTGATTTCCAAAGTGGCTGAACCAGTTGGCACTCCCACCAGCAATGGAGGAGTGTCCCCCCTGTCACCACATCCTCTCCAGCATAAATTGTCATTGGTGTTTTTGATTTTAGCCATTCTGACAGGGGTGAGATGGTATCTGAGAGTTGTTTTGATTTGCATTTCCCGGATGGCTAACGATGTTGAGCACTTTCTCAAGTGCCTCTCAGCCATTTTAGACTCCTCTATTGAAAACTCTCTATTTAGTTCTGCAGCCCACTTTTTAATAGGGTCCTTTGGTGTTTTGTAGACTTGCTTCTTGAGTTCTTTGTAAATTTTGGAGATCAACCCTCTGTCAGATGTGGGATTAGTGAATATTTGTTCCCATTCTGTGGGCTGCCTTTTTGTCTTGCTGACTGTGTCCTTTGCCTTACAGAAGCTTCTCAGTTTCAGTAGGTCCCATTTATTAATTGTTGATCTTACTGCCTGTGCTACTGGTGTTATGTTCAGGAAGCTGTCTCCTGTACCAATTCGTTCAAGGGTACCGCCCACTTTCTCTTCTAAGAGGTTCAGTGTGGCTGGATTTATGTTGAGGTCTTTGATCCATTTGGACTTAAGTTTTGTGCATGGCGATAGACATGGATCGATCTGCCTTCTTCTACATGCCAGTCTCCAATTATGCCAGCACCATTTGTTGAAGATGCTTTCTTTATTCCATTGTATATTTTTAGCTTCTTTGTCAAAGATCAGATGTTCGTACGTGTGTGGGTTAATACCCAGGTTTTCAATTCGATTCCATTGGTCTACCTGTCTATTTTTGTGCCAATACCAAGCTGTTTTCAGGACTATAGCTCTATAATAGAGCTTGAGGTCAGGGATGGAGATGCCTCCGGACGTTTCCTTGTTGAACAGGGATGTTTTGGCTATCCTGGGTCTTTTGTTTTTCCATACAAAATTGATTATTGTTCTTTCAAGGTCTGTGAAGAACTGGGGTTATTTTATTTTGTTTTTAATTAATTTGGGGGCATACTGCAGGGGTGAGGGGCAGGTGTGGAAAGACTTGGAGGTAAGCAGAATTATGGTGCATGGTATGAAATTCCCAAAGAATTAAAAGACTATTATGTTTCAAAGAAACGAAAAAGAGTTACCATGGTCATGGTGAATCTTCACAGCAAAGAAAACTCTAGATAACAGAAAAGTTTGTACCAAAGAATTAGTTATTGCTGTGATAATCCTGATCATGTGTTTGCTTGGAGAAATTTGGACTTTGGTATTTTGGGTTATGAAAGCAATGGAATGCTTTAAGCACTGATTAATGGGCCATACTTGTAGGAGTATAAAAGTGCTAAGTACTATTTGAACTGTCATGGGCTCACTCAAGAGATTTAGGGGAGAACTCTAGTATGTTGCCTAGAGATAATTCTTGTGAGATTTTGGTAAAGAAAGTGGTTGGCTTTTGCCCTTTTCTGAATGGTCTGTCTGAAGTAGAGAGTTTTGGATTAATTCCACTGGAAAAAGAAATCATAACAGCCTAGACTCAATTGTGTGGATATTGCTGGTAGCTCTAGTGAAGATTTACAATGAAAAGGAGCAAACTAAGCATAGTAAGCTACAAAACATAAATTTTGAGGAGGAAAAGAGCATCAAGAAATTGAATTGAGTTAAATCCTGTGTTCCAGGAGATAAATAATTAAGAAATACAATAAAGGCAACAGTGACTTCAGGGAAAGATCCAACCTAGCAAAGTTTCCAACTTGTGGAAAGAAACTAAAACTAAAACAAAACAAAACATTAAAGCTTATCACCAACACTGGGAAGCAGAGGCTGGCTGATCTCTCAGTTTCAGGCCAGCCTTGTCTACAGAGCAAGTTTCACAACAGCCAACCTTAGGCAGTGAAAGACAGACAGTTGATGATTATGCACTTGAATTAGGGGAACATGTTGCATCCCCAGGAAGTAGCCGAATTTGGCAACTTTGACCAATTGGTTCTGACTTTAGAGTTATGGATAGGAGAAAGGAGTTATGGAATAAAGTCTCTGAGGCCAGGAATATATCCGAGTGTCCCTGAATGGAGGCTTAGTAAAGAGGCTCTTTTGTGAGGTTGTGAAGATGTAGCCTGTATTGACTTGGAAAACTCAAAACATTAGAGATGCCAGATTTATGGGATACCTTCGAAGGAGAGCTGCTAACAGGGAGTAGAACCAGCCCAAGATACGGAATTGTATTGCAATTAAAAAGCCGAACAGAATTGGAGATCTGAAGAGCATTTTGACATCAGACATGGAGATGCAGTGTTTAGAGTTATCTCAGGTAAATTTTTATCTTTTGGTCTAGTATTTCCTTGTTATGCTCCCTTCCCTGCATTTTGAAATGATTATATGCTGCAATCCAACCACGGCCTGGGTTCAGGTCCTGAGATGGGAAAAGGATGTCTATGAGAAGAAATAAAATGAGCAATCACCAGATGAGTTTCACACAAGTGGCCTGCCCCACATAGCTCTAACTTTCTTTATTTATTCATCTAAAACAAACAAATTTTTTCATACCAACAAAGAAGATTTTCCCATCCTCCAATGTTAACCTCTAGAAAAAACAAATATATCAAATACGTTTTTTAATCAAATTTTACATCAAAACATCTTTAAACCTCAAACAACACCTACTTTGCTAGCTTGGCAAAATTTAGAGCCAGGTAGACCCTATCTTACCAAAACTAAAAGGTGATTGATATAGGCACACATTTCCAAGAACAGTCTCATTCTTGTTCAAAACATGTTTACAGAAATAGGATGATCTGCCTCTGATTCTCTCAGCACAGAATCAGGACAGCTTCCATGTGTCTGAGTTGACAAGAAACCTGAGAAGCATGCACTCCCAAATAATTTGGGTGGAAAATATTTGAGGAAAAATTGGTGTTTCCCAGAATTATCAATTCTGTCAAATGCATGATTGAAATAATGACACTTTAAAAGCTAAGAGAGTCATCAATATTATGAGAGAGAAGAGAGCATGCAGGCTATGTGGTCCCTGCAGTATTATGTGCTGTCCTAAGTTTCACTGGTCTTTGCTGAGTGAGACTGTCCCCATGGGCTTTTGCCACATCTGGAGACCTGTTGGACAAGCACTCATATACTGGTCTGAAACTATGCTGTATACTAGGCAGTGGCTATCTCCTTTT